ATGCCCACATCAGAGCCTTCTACTGCATGAGTTGGAAAGAAAAGTCAAGACAGAGCTCCGACACTACCAGAAGCTCTGCCCTGAAACCATCGCATCGTAGAGTTGTGGGCCACAGGACATAAATGAAAACACGCATCTTTGGGTAAAACCAAACCCTGTTTTTAAGAGGTATTCTTCTTTGTACAACCACATTAACAAACCTTGGGTTCTCCTTCATCAGATTGGATGCTAGATTTGCCCCAGATAAATGCCTCAACGAAACACTGGTGTCACTCACACAAATGACGCTGAATGGAGACTGACCTGGAAAAGTGGTCACTTTCCTTCTGGTGTAAACCCTCTTGTCTTCTTGTTTCTTCTTTCACATGAACAAATCCAATCCTACCATACCACCAATGGTCACTCAGTAGTTCTTCTCCACTCCTATAAAATATGTTTTGCAACCATCCCAGGCCAGGTAGGTTCACCATCAGTTCTAACAGTTTAAAAGAGAAACATGGAGCCCTTGAGGTCATCTTCACAGGTTTTAAATTTAGCAGGGAAACCAGCCAAGGGGAGACTGCACTTGAGGCCCTCCCCCAGCAGGATGCTGCCTTTTTATGCCCTCCCAGCTAAGCACAGGTGTGCACACTTGCACATGCGCACACACTCATACTCCAGGTGTCTACAATCAGGCAGGCGTGCCCCCCACACACACACATGCGCCTTCTGCGTCAACACAATCAAGGCCACAGGTGATAGCTATAGAGGCTAGTGGCATTAAAAAGCCTGATTCACTTACCAGACAACACCCTTCATTTAAAATGCACTCAATATACTTCCCTGTGTCATTTGAAAGATGGAAAAAGATTTGAATGTTATCAGGCTTGTATTTCACACCAGGAAAATAGGCTCATGAAATACCTGCATGAGGTGATGCCTTTGATCAAGACAAGGTTTAATTAAGCAAATGCTTAGCCCTGGGAACGGGTTCAGACTAGCTCACCTCCATGGTCTCTTCTAACTCCAACACCCCACCCATTCCAAAGAGCAAGGTCACATGCCTTCTCGGGGCACTCCAGGGGCACACTTCATTCCTAGTCCACTGGGGTGCCCTGAACACAAAGAAAATACTGGGTCTGGGGATCAGGACACCCCTGACAGTGAGCTGTGGTTTACTTGTTTATCTGAGATAGCACTGGTTGGAGAATCACATCAATTTCTAAAAAAAATAAACCATTATTTCTCATTGATTCAAAAGTCCACGAATCAAAATTCTACTTGAATAGCATTTGGAGGGCTGCTTCAGAAAATACCGAAATTCAGTAATTGTGTATTTTATTCCTAAGATTTGAATATGGAATGTGCAGAGAACAGAGAGGGAGTGTCTACACAGGTAACCTTCCTAAAATGAGTTAGTCTGATTTTCACTTTATGATTTATCATTCTTTAAAGGTATTTTATATGTATGTAAAAGACTTAATTTTTCTGATTTAATTTGCTCTATGCGCTTGTACTTTTTTTTTTAAACATTTTTTTTTTTATTTTAATTTTCTAGAGGCATGTCTTATTTATTTATTTATTATTTGTTTGTTTGTTTGGTTTATAGATGCACTGGGTACAGTCAGAAGCGTGGGAGGGTGAGAGAATTCACCAGAGCCAGAGCGGGGAGCAGAGCAGGCAGAAGGACCGAAGTACACTGCTGAGGGGAGCAGCGGGCGGCAGGAGGGGTCTGCGCGCCATGTGGGACCCTCCTCCGGTGGCCGGGGAGCAGCCGGGGATCGAACCGGCTGCAGAGGCTGCAGGCAGCTTCGCAACCCAGCGCTCAACTGCTGCGCCACCGGGGAGGCCCTATGCCCTTGTACTTTTAATGAAGATTGCCACTAAAAGAGAAAGTATGTACAAACTTTTATAACCCTTAACTGTTAGGGGGAAAAGGCGGTCCCAAAGCAAATTCCATACAGGCTTTGTGGACTCCACCCCCACCCCAGGCCAAAGCCAAAGACACTGGGAACTCCAAATCCCATCACCACCAAAGGGAAGGTGGCTGGGACCTGAGGGTGGGGTTAAGCAGCCAGGTGGATACAAAAGGCAGACACGTGGGCTTTGGGGGGCTCTCCATTTTGGGGCCCTCGGCCAGCTCGCGGCGTCCGTCTAGCTCTGAGAGTGACTTTGGGTTTCCAGGTCGTCGGATCGGGTAGGACGCATTAAAGACTTTATTTCCCTATTTTCTCCCTGAGTTGTACATTTTCCTTATTTCTTTTTCTCTTGTAAATAAACCTTTTATTAACCCTTTTGTGTGTGTCTGTAGTAGAGTATTCATAAGTCCCTTTAAAGCGCGCGGGTGAGGACCCACAGCCAGGAACCCGTTTAATATCAGGGTTGCTCTATAACATAACTACTATCATATGAAATTAGGTGTTCTAAGGAGAACATGATTGATTTCATTCATTTCTCTCATCACGCACCTTGGTTTATTCATTCATCTATTCTTCATTTCAGCTTTGGTTTTTATTATTATAATTAACCAAAGTCTGACTTCATATTAAAAATTTCAGAAAAATAATTCTAAAAAAATTCAGAAATAAAAATAGCTTATTCCTAAAAATTGGAAAATAAAATCAATTTATTAAATACAGATTCATCAAAATTATTTAATCTGTCATGCTATGTTTCAAGATTTGTAGAAATTTATTCATTAAATAAAATTAATATTTCAACACTTTCAGTTTTGTTTTTAATATTTTTTTATTTATTTGTTTATATTTATACAAGCACTGGGTACAGTCAGAAATGCGGGAGGTGAGAGAATTCACCAGAGCCAGAGCGGAGAGCAGAGCAGGCAGAAGGACCGAAGTACACTGCTGAGGGGAGCAGCGGGCGGCAGGAGAGGTCTGCGCGCCATGTGGGACCCTCCTCTGGTGATCGGGGAGCAGCCGGGGATCGAACCAGCGCTGCAGAGGCTGTGGGCAGCTTCGCAACCCAGCGCTCAACCACTGCGCCACCAGGGAGGCCCAACACTTTCAGTTGTGTCTGCATTAACTTTCTTTTTTTTAAAAAAAAAATTCTTTATTTATTTATTTATACAAGCACTGGGTACAGTCAGAAGCGCGGGAGGGTGAGAGAATTCACCAGAGCCAGAGCAGGGAACAGAACAGGCAGACTGAAGAAATACAATGCTGAGGGGAGAAGCAGTGCAGCAGAAAAGGTCTGTGTACCATGTGGGACTCTCACCTGTGGACAGGGATCAAACCCATGCTGCAGAGGCTCAACCGCTGCGCCATCAGGGGAGGCCCTTGTCTGCATTAACTTTCAAAATTATATTATGTTACTTTAGTTTTTCAATTTATTTTTGCTACATGTAAAAGACCTAAATTATTTTTTGTAACTTAATTTTCTGGCCACAAAACCCTTCAATTCCATTGGTTCTTTATTCTTCACATTTATGTAGCCTTAAATTTTACAGATATTTTTCCAACATAATGGGAAAATTTCATTAAAATTGGAGCCTTCAAAAATGCAACTGATTCCTTCCTTCCAAAAAATATTGTAAATTTAGGTCATTATTGAAGCATCATGAGGATTATCTGACATTTAGAAATCAAATATCCTTATAATTCTTCCTTTTCTTCAGTTGAAATGCCTTATTTTCTTTAAAATATTACCAAGCAAAAAATATTCATTATACACAATTAACACTTTAAACATGTGACAGTTTAGGTCCTCAGCCAAGCTAGACTAATGGCAGGTATAGCTTACAGAGCTTGTGCTCAGGTGATGCTAAACCACAGCAAAAGCCCATAGAGCTCACACAATTGCTGAATTGTCCATTTTGCCTCCATGGAAACTCTGGACATTTCTAAAGAGGAAAAAGGAAATATCCCAGATAGAGGACATGTCAAAGTCATGGAAATCATCTAATCTGGAAGGTGGTTAATTCATATATCTGTGATATCACATTGATCTACCCATTAGTAACTATGCTGTTAGGCCCTGAAGATAAACTCTGAAACACATTATACTGTAAAGCAGCAAAGCAATTCATTAAAATCGTGAGTCAACACTTTGAAACAACTAAGTTACGAAGGAGCACTGCCATCCTCAGGTACTGAGGGAGTAAACACCAGGTGAAAATGAATATGTGGCTTTTATACCTTATCAAGTATAAAAGTTCACCTCTTGGCTGGCGTTCCAAATGCTCAATAAATAGCACTCCCAGGGAATGAACCTGAAAAGCCTTAACTCTAACTGTCCTTATTGGTTTTAGCTTTATGCAACAGATTATCATTAATACCCAGGTACATTGTGGACAGTTTTTTTCAAGACTTGAAATAAAAATCAGGGGTAAATTTCATGACATTTGCTTTAAAAATTATTGAAAAAATAGCCATTGGCTTGTTTGACTCACATTGCAGAGCCTTTGACTAAACTGCATCAAAAATGGTAGGTTCCATGTGAAAAATACCAAACATTTTCTAATAGAGTTCACAGATCAAAGCTGAGAAAAGTATGTCAAATCAAACACAGTTCAGCCGTGATGTTTCCTGGGTATCAGAATGTGAATCTTAAGGAAAAACTGAGGTTCAAGAGAACAATACTAGAGTATGTTAGATGAAAACATTATCATTAGTTTAAGAGACCAGCTATGGAATTTAAATAAATGAACATTCATTTGCTTTATCACAACAGAAATCCACTTCCCATGTTAATGAAAGAAAAGGAGTTAGTAGATTTAAAGAAAGGTCACAACGTTAACCGTATATAAAGAGATGATCAAAATGCTGGCAAGCAGGGAGGTGGAGGTGAAGGTCAGGAGAAGAGGAAATACTCTTCCCCACTTGCTGTCACCTCTCATGAGTTTCTCCATGATGGTAAGTACCAGGAAAACGAAGAGGTCCTAGGAAAGCAGCAAGTGTGAACTGCAACTCCAAGCATCAGTTCTCACACTAAAAACCTCACATTCATGAAAGCACACTCAAGTTCCTCATGAAAATTATAAAACACTGTACTTGGAAGTTTTATGTAAATTTAATATTTATTTTCTTTCATGTGGTAATTTTATTGTGATTATATAAGGAAAACAATTATTATTATTATTTTCAGCCAGGTCCACATACAATGTCCCCAAGTCCCTTGAACTTTCCCCAGTGCCATGTCGTCAAGTCCATTTTCTGCGTGCTGAGGACACCAAGTCACCCAGAGTCCGACACAGAAACCCCAAAATGTAGGCAGCACATCTGAATGAGGCACAACCAACACCCTCATCCAAAAATGGGGAGGAAACGTCAAAAGAACCAGAAAAACTGTGATGGATTTACATAACATCCATCTTTACAAAATTATTTTTAAAAATAATATTAGCATAGTACAAAACCATAAGGCAGAAGACCTAAAGTAGACAACGTGATCAAAACTGATAGTGAGACTTCATTCTGATGCTGTCGTTATGATTACATGATTAATTTGAGGAAATATTAAGTAGTGAAAGTCCAGTAAGAACTTCATATGCTAATCTGAGTGAGTTCATTCTAATAATAGTCACCCGGAGGAATCGATCCACTTTTCCTTCCGTTTTTCTGCTCCTTGCATGCCATTTTTTCCTGAGATGCTTCTGGCAAGATGGATCAAAGCAGCCATTTTCCCCCAACATACCCTGGAGGCCCACAACATGGCATCTCCTACAGACTCCAACAGTGAGCCCCATGAAAGTGCCTTGATACTCTGCCAGGAAAAACATCACTTTCCTAAGACCAAATTCATATTCTTAAAACCTCAAACTAACATTGACATGCGAGGGAAGACATGGAACGTGGGCCACCATCAGGGAACAAGGCCAACTGTTTCCTTACCATACCGGACCGTGTTTCCTAACTAGTTACACAGAATGTTCATTCCAGGAAGCAGGGATGGTACCTTTCACAAGAATGATCAGCAGCAAATATTTCCTTTGGGAGATAAGGAAAAAGGAGGAAAGGCATCTGCCATAGGGCACAATAATATTCAATGCTCCAAGTGAGCCTAATAATAAGTCTTCAAATATATTAGATTACATTAAAATATATTTGAAACAAAATCTCTCAAGCAACTAAGAGTGCTTGAAACATGAAAGATTATTAAAAGTACTAGTAGTAATAATAATAATTGCTATAGTTATTCATCTTTTGTATACCATTTTTATAATAAAAGATGCTATCTCCAGATATCTCAACATCTTAATAAATATGTAGAGTTTGTAGAAAACACAACCCTATTAGAATGTCCCTTATATTCAGTTAAAAGGCAAAATGAAAACCTGGGCTGAGATAGCAGCTTTTAAGGCATCAACAACACTTATTAAATCCTATACTATCTTTGGTTATTTTTGCTATATTCCAACCCTGAAAAAATAAATGAATTCAGGACATCATCCTCCAATACACTGTATCTGCAGAGAAACTACAATATTATTAAGTGTGTTAAAAAAACATCTAGTAGGACGTATGAGATGAGTTATTAACATAATTTGAATTATTATACAATTTAAAAAGTTAAACGTTTAGAAAAAGTATTATCAATATAAGATATCCCTTATATTCAAAACCAGGGCTGATTACAGCACAATTTTCAGCTGTCAGTATAGGGTCAAATGCAAGAATGTATTGCCACAAGTTTTTCTAAATTCACTTAAAAAATATCACATGGAATCAAAACATTGCAAACAATTATTCAGTCTATTGGCTTAGGAAGCAGTTATTTTAACATCTGGAGCCATGATAAGTAGTCAGATTTAGTGTAATACAGACATGTAATAATTATAAATATTTTATATTCAACAACCTTAATTTTTGCTAGATAACAAAGAATCCCTTTTAAGTTATTTTTGGCATGGTGCTGGAGGCTCTGTCAAATAATGGGTGCAAGGCATTGCTCATTTACAGGTTCCTCCCCCTTGCACTCAGGGTCTTCAAGTAGACATGCAGTTAAAAAGTAGGTTTGCTCATATATTCTTCCATTGTCTGAAAGAGAACAGAGCATTAGAACAATTTCCCCTTAAACCCTCTCCTTTAGTAGCCTGAACTCTTTTCTTATTCTTTCATTGATTTTTTGCCATTATTGAAAAGCAGTTTTGACAGACGCATATGGACATCAATATTTACAATCTACAAAGAACAGTGATTCAAAACTCAAGTGGACTTCGCGTGTATATCCTTATAGCTGCCACCGAGTAACTCAACTGGCAAGAAACTAAGCTTGACCCTGAAACAAGGGTCTAAGAGTCATGCTAAAAACACAGTGGCCGAGTGGTTCACACCCCATAAATGGTGGCTGCTGACACCACCACCAGAACCAGCGTTAAATGAGTTTGAATCTAAGCTGTGTTCGTGTAACGCATGTCGGGTGACAGCCGCATCTCCTCCACAGAGGTTGCAGGCCTTTCAACCCAGCCGGGGTATCACCATGGCCTGGGGCTCACCCCTGTTTTGCAGTACCTAGAGTTTATACCATTTAAAAAAAGGAACACAGAATTACAAATACAAAATTGGGAATAAAGTTTAGACTGAGAAAAGAGATGACAGTAGGCAACCAATTTTGAAAGATGACAAATATTACTAAATCCAGTGCTGCTGCAGCATGTGGGTTTCATCCAGTAAGGCCTGACACGTCTCTGTAATACTTTCTATTCAATGCATAGCTGCATATTCTTTGCAGTGAAGATTCCATACTTCTGCAAATCTGATCATATGAGGACACTGCTGGCGCCTTCCTGTGGCCATGGAATGGGATGGACCAGTCAAAGGCCTTGTGGTTGTCACATCACTGGCTTCGGGGTTCACTGCTTCACACCATCCAATGGCTAATGTACTTGGGGTGCACTGACTCCCCCTACTGAGCCATGCAAGCCACGCAAGTCACATGGGTTGGTATTCTCTTGCGATTGTCACTTTGCAGGCTGGGACAGACTTTTAAGGCTGGCAGTGCCCTGACCTTTCCCTAAAGGACTAGAGCCTTCATCTCAGGACACCTCTGTTGCCCACCTCGCCCTGTGGAGTTTGTTCTACAAGTTGAGACCTTTTACTGCATTATGATTTGACTCAGCTGTTAACATGGTCTGTGCTTTCAAGAGTGACAGCATTAGGGTGTTCCTAGCCACTACTCATGAACCCACACATTACATATGAGGTATCCTCATATTGGTTGAGCCAACGAGGTACCATTTAACCTCTCTTCTTAAACTGCTTTATTCTTTCCCCCCACTGGTGACCGCAGGAATTGCAAACTCTGCAGTTGATACCCACTAGCATCTCCTTTAAGAATTTTCTTTATCCTTTTATCCTTCTAATCACTTTGCACCACTGTCTACAGGTCTTAGGTGTTACCCTCAAAATACAGAACCTCAGAAAGTCACCTCCACCAATTAAAATGTCCCTTTCTTATATTACTAACATCTAGTTTCAGGACAGACAGAGTAAGCTTTGAGCTTTTAAGATTTGATACTATGTCTCTTCTTACTAAATAAACAGGGGCAGTCTTTTTATGCAAAGAAACTTTTATTAAGTAAGGTCAGAAGAAAGTCCCAAGAGCTATTTGGAGCTTTCCCTACTGACAGCAATGTCACAAAGGCCTCCCTTCACCTTCAGCAACTGCAAATACATGCTAAGGTCAAAGGCGGGGTTGGGAGGGGTAGAGAAAGACAAATTATTTTCTTTATGCAATTATTTGACTTGCTCCCATTCTTTCTATGAGAAGACATAAAGAGAACACCAGACAGTGTTTCAACTGGCACCCAGAGGTCACTGACTTAGCTCAAGTGCCAGAATGCAAGAGGATACTGGTGATGTCTCCACCTGGCAGGTGCTGTTAGTCCACCCTTGGAGGACAGTCACAACACTGCCTACTCACTCCGGAGACACAGGCTACCTGAGGGGTCGCCCCCCCACTCCATGACCTACCCATCCAGCCCTTCCCCTCAATCACCAGGATCATGAACTGCTAATTAGTGTTTAATTAGGAAAGGGCTCTCCTTGAAAATACCTGTTTTCCAGAGTTAAAAGCACCAGGGACCCTGCAAGTTCTTTAACACGCTATTTCCTACAGAGTGGGATTCAAAATAACCCAAGTATGTCTTGGCCACAATTCAAGGATCTTTAATTAATGAAGTACCAAAGACCCTGTTAAAAACTCTGTATCTCCTATAAGAAGATTCCACAGTAAGTGCTCGAGAATAGATTATAAACAATCCCTGGCATATTTTAAGAAAGGCTGTTCTGTGCAATTTCCAAACCACTGACTTCTCCAATACCTTGTAAAACTCCCTCCCTGTGGCATTTGGCTCAAGCCAAGTAAGCATCTGGAAGTTAAAAGGCATCTTTTGAGGTGAGAACCTCTCCAGTAATAAACACATCAGCCTCCTAAACAGGTGCAGCCAAACGCTATCAGGGTTCATTCAAACAGAGGTGTCTGCTCCCTGCAGGACTGATTCCCTAGATGGGCAGGAGAAAGTAATCCGCTCAGAGACACAGCCAAACAGCTGCTGGGAAGTGTGCCTGGTGCTAGCTCATGAACTTACTCGAATTTACGAACAGTGGGAAGATGACTTTAAGGCCGATTTTTGAAAGATATTTTAAAATGCTCTGGAATCTCTCAACCTGCTGTTATGAAAATAGAAAGCAAGGAAGACCCAACGCTGTATGGGAAGAAATCCCCAGAGCTGGCAGAGTTGGGCAAGAACCCAGGTCCTCAGACTGCAGGCTGGGGTGGGCTGAGGCTGGGTGCAACATCTCATTTAGGATGGCAAAGGGCTCTTTCTCACAGCGCCCTTGGAAGGATGGAAGGGTTAAGGAAGGTAAGTTCCCTCATTAGGTACAATGCAAAATCTGTGCTGCTTGTCAAAACCAAAAGCCCTTCTATATTTTATATAAGTATCACAGAGTCAGAAGCTTGACTAAATGGATGCTTCAGGGCCCATTTATACAGAGGCAAGCCAGCCACTGTGTTCCCAATTTATTTATGCAAATAGAAGCAAACATACAGCCTCCCCAGGAGGTGTAAGAAATTTTAATTAAAATGATAAATGCCATCTTCCGTAATAAAGCTCTAATATCCCTGGCAAATGAAATAACGACATACTGCTATTATCCTTTCCCAGGGCAGCACAGATATTTTAATGAAAGTCTTTTTATACCTTGCATAAAATTATTCTTGAAAACACCAGCACCATGCATGTCATGTCTTTTTGACACTTAGGTATCCTCACTAAGAAACTCAACCAAATATGAAGAGCAAAGACTAGAGTTCAGTTGCCTGGGTTCAAATCTATTGTCCACACTTAGAAGCTGTGTGAGCAGGTCATTTAACCCTGTGTCTCAAGTTACTCATTTTTTAAGAGAAAATAACAATACTACCTACCTCTCAGGGTTGCGGTCATAATCGTAGTAGTAATTAAATGTTAATACACATAAGTTTATTAGATACTGTACCCAATACAGAGAAAGCACTAAGTGTCCACTAATATATATTTACCGTCCACCAACACACCACCATTATCATCACTATCTTTAACACCCTAACATCACCATCACCACCACCACCATCACCACCACCACCATCACCAGCCCAACACCACCACCATCATGACCACCACCACTACTGCCCCAACACCAAAACCGTCAGCAGCATCACCACCATCATCTTTTCCCACAGCATGAGAAACTGTACTGACCTCCTGTAACATGTCAGAATCTTCAATGGCTTTGACAGCAGATTTCTTGGATGTTTCCTGAATTTCTCCACCCATTATAAACTCATCCAGGATAAAATAAGCCTTTTCGAAATTAAAGATAATATCTAACTCGCAGACCTGGTAGGACCAAAAACAAACGTGTTGATAAACTTGCAGTAGCAGCAGGGAAGACATGTGCCAGAGTTTCGAGTCTTTTTAACAGTTATACCCACGTGGCATAGCAAAGATAAAAATACCAGATGGCACCTGAGGGCAGGAAAATAGAACCAGGGAATTCCAGGCCTTTAATCAAAGCCAGCCCCATTCTGTTATAGCAGAGCATGACCTTAAACAATGTTTCATGTCTTAAGAAATGTGAGAGTCGGTGCAGGAAGGAGCTCAAGTCTCTGCCTGCAGGATGCACCCTGAGCCCTACCCTGCCCTTCCTGTCCTCCACAGTCCCTCCTGCATTTCAGGCACCAGGTTGGGGCTTGGTTTCTTTCTCTCTGTTCTGTGAATCTTGGCTCCTATCTCTTAAGATTGAGTTTGCTGGTCCAAGACAAATTTGCTCAGCTGAAGTTAATGTGACCAAACTATGTCACTAACCCGTGGTTCTCAAACGCCAGCTTACATCCAACTCGCCAGAACACTCATTAAAATACACACTGCTGGTGGGACTCCCTGGTGACGCAGGCCGTTGAGCGCTGCACTGTGAAGCTGTCCGCAGCCTCTGCAGCGCGTGTTCAATCCCGCCAGCCCCAGATGGCACGGCAGACCTCTCTTGTCTCGCCCACAGCTCCCCACAGCAGTGTATTTCGTCAGTCTGCCTGTTCTGTTCCCCGCTCTGTCTCTGGTGAATCCTCTCACCCTCCCGCGCATCTGGCCTGTACCCGGTTCTTGTATAAGTAAATAAATCTTTATTAAAAAAAAATACACACTGCTGGCCCGGCCTGGGTCTCTGATCCAGCACCTTAGGTGAGGCAGAGAAGGCTGAGCCGGTTCGTGGGCCACGCCCACCATGCTGGTCCAGGACCACAGCTGGAGACACTGACATGGGTCATGGACCACAGGGCGTCTGACAGGTTGGGTTGTTTCGCTGTAACCAGTGGCAAGACCCTGCCCCATAATCCAAATACGGCTCCTTCCTAATCCTGTGACCAGATCGCAGCTACTCGGGCTCTGCCCACGCGGTTTTCCTGCCCAGCCCTTCCTCAGCTCACATCCACGTAACCGCCCCTGTCCACACCTCCTGACTGCCTGCTCTTGGGTTTCCCTCCTCCCTACCTCCACCCAGGCAGCGTGCAGAGTCCTGCCGGCCTCCGGCTGAGCCTCCCTGCTCCCGTGCTGCAGGCTGTGACCGCACCAGGCAGGGCCTGCTCTCTCCTGCCTCCCTGCAACTGCTCCTCAGGCTCCCTGCATGATCCCTGGACCCCCAGCTTGCGTGCGGTCACGAAGCACTTGCAGATGCTGGCGGCAGATCAGCCCACATGACAAATGTCGCTGCTGCATGTGGCTCAGCTCGGAGCTGGTCTTCTTCCACATGGGTGTTTCTCAAGGGCGCCTCCTCTCTTTGCAAACAGATATTCTCCTCAACAATCTCACCACTCTCTACGGCTGAGTCTAGCTCGCAAGTGGCTTGACAAACCCAGATGTCCCACGCTGATCTCCCTCTGGAGCGCCAGCTACTAACCAGACAGCCCTGGCTGCCTGCTCCTCACCCCAAGACACGTGTCCCAGACTCTTCTTGCCTTTAGTCCCTACTGTGCTGTAGCTGCAGCCTCATTTGCTCAATGGAATTCATTCTCCAAATCAACATATTTCCCGCCTCGCTCATTCCTATCTGCCCCCTTGGCCCTGCCCCTCCCTCAGTTTAGTTACCAGTTCCCACTGGTTCCACCATGGAAGTAAATCCCTCTTCTTCATTTCCTCTGCTCAGGTCTGCGACATCTGGGGCTTAGTCACTGGGACCACCTTCTGGGTGGCGCGTGCCCCCTCAAAGCCAGCCACACTCACACTACGAAACACTAACCTTGCTCCTCTCCTTTGTAAGGTCTAATGTTCAGGACAAAGTTGTAATTTCTCAGCATGCACAGGAGTCTTTACCACCCGCCCCGGTCCTGCTCTCCGGCTTCCTCAGCCCGGACTCAACCCAAGCCTTGGTGGCATGAACCCACCAGAGTCTTCATGACTTTGGCCTTTCCTGAAATTCCTAGAATGTTCCCTCAAGTGCTTGTCCTTTATTGTGTCAGCAAAACCAAGCTCACTTTTCAAAGCCAAATTCAAAAGTCAGAGGTACAAGGATTCCCCCAAACGCACTTTCTTCCCATTCAGACTTGGCATCCCTTGCTCTGCAAGCTCTCCTACACCTGTGTGCACTGGCACACACTCACCAGTCATCCCCCTGACTGTGAGCTCAGGCACTGGCCCAGCACACAGTAGGGTGCATTCAATGTCTGCAGGACAAATGAATGAGCCAGTCATCAGACAGGCTTGTTAAGAGGCTGGGACGAATGACTTCCAGATCAACAATTCTCTGATTCTACTGAATTCTATGACTTTACATAAAGTGGGTGTCAATATTTTAGCAAGTTGCTTCATATATTTAGGATTTAGGTCAATACACTAGCAGACTCCACAAGGAAAATGGTTTATGTTGACAGATCCAATTGAATCTAGAAGCATAAAAACAAATGAATACAATACCACTATAATAAAGTCAGCTAAAAAAAAAAAATACACTCCTCTAACTCATCTGCATAGGCTATAGTCTCTTCATTCACTAGAAAAGAGCATCAAAATAAGTGTGTGTATATATGTCTCTTCCCTCTTCCTGGGGGAGAAAGAGAGAGACTCAAGAGAAGAGACTGGTTATATATCTAATGTAAAATAAGACTGGGATGTGACATTACAACCTGGCGCTTTCCAGATCTTTAGGGTTCGCTCCTGAGAATAACCCCCAGAGCGTAGCTGGCATCACAAAAGGGCATGTGCTCAGCTTGTGGGCCCTTTGTTTTACTCCTATAGCACTCTCCTTCCAGGAATTTGAATGATGGTGGAGCAGGGCTCCCCAGGAGAAAATGTGGAGAGACCAGAGTACAGTGTGAGCCAAGCAGTAAAAAGCACAGCAACAGAGTGGGGACAATATTCACAACATATATAACAGAGACAGGAGATAGGATCCGGCTACATAAAGAATTCTTGTAAATCCGAAAACTGAACATTGTGCACAGACACACAAAAAAAGGAAAATCAGAGGTGGCCAAGAAACAATTCAGGGCCTCCCTGGTAGCAAAGGGGTTAAAGTCACAGTGCTATCAAGCTATTGCCAGCCACTGCAGCATGAGTTCGATCCCTGACCAGGGAGCTGACCCACATGGCACAGCAGACCTCTCCTGTCTGTCTGTTGCTCCCTTCAGCAGTGTATTTCAGTAAATCTGTCTGTTCTGCTCCCCACTCTGTCTCTGGTGAATCCTCTCACCGCCCTGCCCCCCACACCTCTGGCCTGTACCCCAGTTCTTGTATGCATAAATAAATAAAAATAAATCTTTAAAATAGAAGAAACAATTCATGAAGAAGGCCAGTAAACATCTAATAAGATGTACAGTCGCACTAGTAATCAGGAAAATATAAATTAAAGTAATAATGAGAGTATGGATACATAGATATTCACACACACTGTTGGGAGAATCTGCAATTTTTTTTTTTTTAAGATTTATTTATTTATTTATACAAGCACTGGGTACAGTCAGAAGTGCAGGAGGGTGAGAAAATTCACCAGAGCCAGAGCAGAGAACAGAACAGGCAGAGTGACAAAATATACTGCTGAGGGGAGCAGTGGGCGGCAGGAGAGGTCTGAGCGCCATGTGGGACCCTCAGCTGGTGGCCGGGGATCGAACCGCTGCTGCAGAGGCTACGGGCAGCTTCGCAACCCAGCGCTCAACCACTGCGCCACTGGGGAGGCCCAGAATCTGCAAATTTTATAGGCCATTTTGAAGGGTCAAAACATAGTATCTGACAATTTTAAATGTATGAATCCTTGGACCCAATGTCTCCACAAGGGATTTATTTCTATGCTATATTCAAATTAGTGTGCAATACTATCTACAGGAACAAGAAAGATTATAGCAGCATCATTTATAACAAAAATTGCAAACAACCCCAAGTCCATCCATAAGGAAACTGCTTAAACGAAACATGGCAGGCCATGGGGATTCTATGCAGAGGCTGGAAAGAAAGAGGCAGTTCTCCACAGATAGGCCTGGAAACATCTCCAAGATAACTTGTAAGGGCATAAAAAAGAAAACTGCAGAATAATATGCATAATGCAATCTCACATTTTTAATGGAAAAACATGTGTGCTGAAATATGCAAAAAGATAAATGTTGTTTTGCAATTTGAACAATATAAACAAAAGGAAAGCACAGGAAGTCAAACATTCATGCACACAAAAGAGGGTACCAGAAGGAAGCGGTTACCAGAGGTCAGAAGAGGCGGGAAGTCAGGAGTTAGAATAGCAGGAGCTGAGGAACCTCAGAGTTCAAGGCAGGTGCAGACCAGGAATCCAAGACATACAGGAGCCGCATTAGGAGAAGCCAGCACTCAGAATCCTGCAAAGTGAACCTGACAGACACTAATGCAAGGTCTCTGGGAACTTCTCAGACCCCACTCTCCAAGCAGCAACCCACCCTCAAGTGTGCAGGGCTCACCAGCAGCCATGGGGCAATCAGTGACTGCACCTAGTGTCATGGGATAGGGATAAGGAAAGAGGGTATGCAAAGCCAGACACGCCATTCATTTTCTCTCTCTCTGTCTCTCTCTTTCTCTCTCTCTACAATTAGATATAAAGTTACTAGTTACTATCTCCAGATCCTAAGAGAAACAATATCACTGTCAATGGACACACAGCGAATATAACCAAGAAGCAACTACTTCACAGACAGCAACTCCCAAATGCTACTCTATGGTTATTTGAGTCTGGCCCCAAGGGATTATAGTATCTACAGGTAAGAAGAGAAAACATCTCAGGAGAACCTTAGACCACATGCCAGTTTTTTTAGCTCCAGCCTAATTGCTCAGCTACTTCTAATTCCACCTTTGGGGGGCAGTCCCAGTACATCAGAAATGTGCCCCTGAGGCTCAAATGGCTGCATTTCATTTCATTAGGTAAGAACATGGGAGCCCCTTTACTTTGGTTTTCTCCTTTTGCTCTTGTGTCTGTATCCTGGAAGCAAGCTGTTCACAGGCAGGCGCTGTGATGGCTTCACTTAGTCTTTGATCTCCTAGCCTGTGCTTTACCAGAATTTGGCTTATGGGTGTTCGTTTGTAGCAGAATACCTGATGCAGTGAGATGAATTCCAGCACTTCGATAACTAAATTTTTTTGTATGAGTCCCTCATTGAATTCTATTCTAAAGTAAATAGCAAAAGTTCAAGTTCTATATTATAAATGTATAGAACTATATATAAATTAATCATAATGCAGGTTACAATTCCATAGCAATTGACAGTCTATAAAGTACTGTTCATTGCACTATCTCTTCGATCCTCACTATAACCCTGGGAGGTTAGCAAAGGAAATCCTTCTATTAACCTTTCTGCATGTCATTTTTCTTATCCGCAAACAGAGATATATGATAAGCCAACTCATGGGTCTAGCTGACACCAGGGTCCAGCAGGGTTCAGAGGGCTCCTCTTTTCACAACTGGGAAACCCCAACATCAAGATCAAAACCCCTCCAGGACAGCAATATCTACCCCCTGAGTGCAGCAGCACAAACAACACATCAAAGCACAGCAGTGGGGATGGGGAAATATGGCGGCATCTAAATCCTCCAATGGACCCTTATCTACTTTGGGATACTTTGAGACATTTCCTCCTAGCCTTTATAAATTGGGGTTAATGTTACTTACTAAAGATCGAAAGATTAACTAGTTAATCCTTACAAATCTCCCTGCAATTGAAAAGTGTTAAAAAAAATACATAAATTAGTACCCAGAGATTTTGATTTATCTGTCATAGGAAAGTAATATTTTCCAGTATTAAAAGAGCAGCTTAGTACAAAGTTTTCCTTTGGATAATAGAAGGGCAAGATTCAAGGAAACCTTCAGTATTAACACAAGAGGAAAAGGAAACCAAAGAGAAATATATTATTCCTGAGATGATGTCAATGAGAATCCGCACTGGAAGGCTTTGCTCGCTACTTTTAATTAATAAGAACCTAACACCTACTGGGCAAATAGCCTTGAATTGCTCTTAGCTGCTCTTAGCTTAATGAAAGATTCATTGAATTTTTTAGTGAATTAAATTTTGGCTCATGACAAAGACAGAGCTTCTAAAGGTATGCCAACATAGGATGAAAAATTAATGTCAGAGATACAAGAATTCATTCTGACTGGGCTTAGCACAGGTGAAAAGGATTCAAATTCTCAAGGAAGCAACGAGTTCTGAAATATCTAAAATAAGACCAGATAAGAAGGAGATAAAAATTCAATCCCAATTCATATTATCACAGCTGGATTAATCTAGGAAACCCCAGCAGGTCTAACCAGAGGACAGAGATGAGGGAGAGAGGGCAGGTCAAAGTGAAACCTTACAAGAACTCCTTCAGGCCTTCAGGCCAAATTCATTTCAAAAGAAAGCATCAACATGTCAGAATTCACTGGAGAAAGAGAAAGTATAAAATTAATCCCAAGCTCAATGAGAATATGGTGTTAGGTATTTGCAAGTCTCTCTTAAAAAAAAAAAAAAAAAACTTAATGAACAAGAAAAAAAGAGAAAGAAAAATGTCTCATTCTGTCTACTGGCCAACAACCTGAAATCCCTGAAGCAACATTTTAGGTCTTTTAACATCATTTATAAAGAAAAAATAATGGGAATAAAAGGAAAGGATAGAGAGGAGGAAGGAGAAAGAGAGAGGGAAGGTCTTCCAGAGAGCTTTGAAGCCCTCAGCCTTGAGAGGAATGTTGCAACAAATGGATAAAACCCCAAGCAATAATGTCAACACTGCTTGTTCCATTACACAGAGTGCAGAAAACTCTTCTGGAAGCAAATTCTCCTGACAACACTTGATAAAAATCTTCAGTGAGTAGGGAATTAGGAATAAAGTACAAATGAGAGGAAACACTACAAGGACTTATTTCTTGAGCATGTGAATTAGATGGAATGTTCCTGGAACATTTGCTACAATCAGACCCAGAGCAGGTTACATGTGTTTAAAAAACAAGCAAATAAGTCCAGGTAATGATCTCGAGATACTTGCCACTTGGTGGTCCAGCAAATCCTGTGCAAGTTAAAGATAACATAGGCTGTTCCATGTTTCTGGAACACTGGATAGGTCAGGGATATAAAGGAAAGGTTGAAGAAGTGGTCTGGGGGCCAATGTTGGAACACTTATGTGCCCTGCTAAGGAGTTGGATTTTATTCATTACAGGTGATGAAAGGGACAGTCCTCCTAGATCTGAGCTTTGTAAGGAAAGTGGGAACTAACAGACCAGGGAAGGAAAAGCAGAGATGAAAGGCAGAAAGGGCCAGATAGGAGGCTTCCAGGAAAAGTAAGTCTCCCAGGGTGTAGAGAAGAGGTGAAGTTTGGTCCAGTTTGATAAAGAGGCAGATCCTGCTAAAGGTGGGGAAAGCAACAGTGTCCTTGTGCCCTAAGGACCCCGGGACAATAAGTTCAATCACAAGATGGAACAGGATTTCAGAAGATGAGGCATTTGATGCTTAGAAGATGAGGCATTTGATGCTTCACGCCTGAAGACTGAGATGGTGTGAGAAGCGCAGTGGAGACCACTGTCGAAGAAGCAGTTAAAAGTCGTAAAGAATTTCCAAGAGAGAAGGTCAAGTCGACATACTGGACAGGAGGAGCCGGACGGCATCAAGAGGGCAGGGGGAGGAGAATGGAGATCAGGAGCTTTTCAAAAGACAAATCAGCAGAACTTAGTGTCCAAGCAACAGCAAGAGGTAGAACTGTGTGATGAAGGTCCGGCGCTGCAGGAAGGCGACAGCAGGTGAAGGCTTCAGAAGAGCCGCTGGCGCTAACAGGTAGGGAGAGATCAGGGGTGACTAAGACTTCCCTGGAGCAGGAAAGGTGGAACCCAGCCTGGAAGCTGCTCGGGGGTGGATGAGTTCTGAGGATGGGGAAGGCACTTCACGGGGTGTTTTACTTGGCAATAAACACATGGAGATGATGTGAAGATAACAGATATTGGTTCTGTTTGTGTGCTTGGTGGTTTTTAACTAAGTATAAAAAGAAAGAAAACAAATGAACAGATAAAACAAATTCTTAGATTATGAAAACAAAATGGCGGTCAACAGGGAAAAACAGAGAAGGGTGGGCAAGTTGGGTAAAGGGCGCCCATTGTGTGGGGGTGCGTGGAAACTAGACTTCTGTGGGAATCCGAATGTAGCAATTATAGATGCCAGTTACAGCACCACACCACTGAAGGTTAGACTTGTTATATATGCCACAGCAGTGCAAGTTTCAGAAAAGAAACACTTGTAGCTTAGTGAAAAAACCAGAGGAAATAAGAAGTCAAAACAGAAGAGAGATGACAAAGTTCATGAAGAATAAGAGATACCCTATTAAGAAATCTTTCACGATTCAGTTCTAACTCATCGGCAGAAGGTGTGTAGCGTGGCTGCAGTCTGGGGACAGAGACAGTAGTTGCCTCGAGGAAGCCTGGGATCTTTCATCTGCCGAAGGATTACAGGAAGGAGGAGAAATGTATATTCTGATGCTTGGTACAAACGCAATTCATATTTTAGGCTGGAGGGGGAAAAGAATGCAGCAGGAGATAGAAAGGAAGATGAAGCTCATTCTGAACACCACTTACATTTCCAAAGTATTTGTCCAGCAACTCCACATACCGATGTACAATCTCTAGTGTCAAGAGCTCATTGTCCTGATTTTCTACTGCACAGCAAAAATATAAACTAGCATACCTTGAAAAGAAAGAAAATAAAGGAGATGATGACACATTAAATGACCAGAACATGGTTTTCCCCCAATGAATGAGCAGTCCCCACCCCTCACCAGAGACTCTCTCCACCCAAGTTCAAGAATGAAACAAGAATTGGATTCTTTCCGTAAATCATGTGAAAAGACCTCAATAAAATTTGACCTTGAAGAGTTGCCAGGAAGCAGAGTTCTCTGACAGAGCCATGGCTTCCCAAAGGCAGGCACTGAGTCTGCCTTGGTCACCCCTGTACACCCCATAGCTAGAAATACCTGCTGAGAGAACCCCTGAAATCCTATCCTTGATACAGTCACTTAAATTACAAATGAACCCAATGTTTCAGAAGCCAGCAGGTAAATAGGGAGGAGCTTCTCATGGGCAAGCACTGCCTGGAAACTTGCCTTTCAGTTCCAGGTTTGCTAATTATAAAGGGTCATTGTGACATCGCTCCGGAAGGGCCACTAAAAGCTTTGACCCTGGACACAGCAGGAGGAGCTCTGCACAGGTCTTCTGGTAATTTACTCCAGTAGAAGTAGGGTCTGTGGAGGTCACCTCAGTCTTCCCCCTGCAGGCTTCACCAGCACCATGGCCACCGCCTTTCCTATGTGGTGTTCCTGCCAGAAGCTGCCTATGATGCGGGTGGAGGGTCAGATGGGCTGTGCTCGGTCCCAGCTCAGGCATCAATTATCTGGGTCATTATAGCAAAAGCACTTACTCTGAGGAGTTCCCATTTCCTGCTCTCTAAACAGAAGTTCCATTCTAGAAGTATGGACTGCCCATGACACGCGGGTGCAGTGGGAGAAAGCATAGAGGTTGTAAAGCCAGGAAGGTCTGTATTTGAATCTTGGCTTTGCCAATTACCATTCTGCAGTAATGGATGACGGGGGGCAACTATGATGGGGACTAAGGACTTCAAGTCTGTGGTTTCCCTCCCCTCATCTACAAATACATGTACTAATAACAGTGTAAGAGCTGTTCAGCTCTCTGTTCACGCAACTTGCCTATTTTGCATAGAATGTGTTATTAACTGAAAATGTTCTGTCTGCTTAGCAAATGAGCTTCAAGAAAGCAGGAATGGGCCTCCCCGGTGGCGCAGCGGTTGAGCGCTGGGTTGCGAAGCTGCCCGCGGCCTCTGCGGTGCCGGTTCGATCCCCGGCTGCTCCCGGCCACTGGAGGAGGGTCCCACATGGCGCGCAGACCTCTCCTGCCGCCCGCTGCTCCCCTCAGCAGTGTACTTCGGTCCTTCTGCCTGCTCTGCTCCCCGCTCTGGCTCTGGTGAATTCTCTCACCCTCCCGCGCTTCTGACTGTACCCAGTGCATGTATAAATAAATAAATAAATAAAATCTTTAAAAAAAAAAATATTAAAATAAAAAAAAAAAAAAAAAAAAAAGAAAGCAGGAATGTTCTTGTGTCTTGTCTGCTATTGCGTCCACAGCCATTGAAACAGCGCTGGAATGACAGCAGCTCACTAGATCATTCCCGAATGCCAGCATGGATCACCCACGTGCACAGGGAGCACAGCCAGAATCCATCCTGGCCCATGGAAAGCCTTTCAATACGTGAGAGTTCTTGTCTAGTTTGTCTGTTGGCACAAACATTTGAGCTCCAGCCTGCAACGATTTCAGTAAATGATGGAATTGGTGTTGCAACTAACATGTTCAGAATTAAACAAACCAAAGTAGCAATGAGAAATCCAAGTCTCATAAAGTTACTCACACCTTTTATAAACAAGTTTTAGCTCCTTCCAGTCAATAAAACTGCTTGTCCGCTGACCACGAGAGAGAATAATTTGAACAATTTCCCGGGTGATCTTTTTCCTTTCTCTGTCAGGGAGAGTGGTGTACCATTTCTGCAGCCGCAATTTCCCTTGTCGACTGAAGAGCAGTATGAAATGTATCTAGAATAAAGGACAGGGGAAGCCAGAAGCTGATCAGCCAAATCATTCTGCACTGAAACTCAGTGGCAGAGCTTACGAAGGATCATAATTCCCAGCAGGAACAGAATACTTACCAGCTGGTCTGATAAACTTCATGTAACCATCAAAGAAGAGAGAATTAGGTAGATCACAATCAAAATGTATTCATAGTATAGGATTAAGATAAGGATTTTTTAATTATCACTTTTAAGACATAAACTCATTATAGGGAGAAAAATCTACCAAGGATATACATAACTTTCAAAAAAATGGTAAATTCTTCTTTTGCAAATAAACAAAATGTTAAAAAACAGGGAAAGGGTTTACTTTTAAAATGACATCTTGGGGCCTCCCTGGTGGCGCAAGGGGTTAAGACACAACCTATAAAGCTGTCTGCAGCTACTGCAGCATGAGTTCGATCCCCGGCCAGCCGGGGAGCAACCCACATGGCGCAGCAGACCTCTCCTGTCTCGCCCGCTGCTCCCCTCAGCAGTGTTCTTGGGTTGATCTGCCTGTTCTGCTCCCCACTCTGTCTCTGGTGAATCCTCTCACCTCCCACACCTCTGGCCTGTACCCCAGCTCTTGTATACATAAATAAATAAATCTTAAAAAATAAATAAATAAAATGACTCTTAATCCTATGTCACACTGTAGAAACAATGATTATACAGAAATAAAGGAGAAAAGGAAAGAAATGGAAATGAAGCAAGGAGTGAGCGAGAAAGTGAGAAGGGAAAGTATTCTCACTCTTTTCATAAATAAAAATTCTATGTATTGGGCCTCCCCGGTGGCACAGCGGTTGAGCGCAGGGTTGCAAGGCTGCCCGCAGCCTCTGCAGCGCCGGTTCAATCCCCGGCTGCTCCCCGGCCACCAGAGGAGGGTCCCACATGGCGCACGGACCTCTCCTGCCGCCTGCTGCTCCCCTCAGCAGTGTACTTCGGTCCTTCTGCCTGTTCTGCTCCCCGCTCTGGCTCTGGTGAATTCTCTCACCCTCCCGTGCTTCTGACTGTGCCCAGTGCTTGTATAAACAAATAAAATAAAATAAATCTTAAAAAAAAAATTCTAAGTATTTAAGATGTACAACATGATGGTTTGATATATACATAGTAAAGCGTTACTACAGTCAAGCTAATTAACTCGACTGCTCATATCACTAACATTTTTATAAGTAATGAGAGCACCTAAAATAAGCAAATTTCCAGCATTTAACATAGTATTAGTAACGCTTGCCTTTATTCGGTGGTTTTAACTCTAATCTTTATACAGTGCAGTAGAGCTCTAGGCTTACTCATCATACATGACTACAATTTTGCACCTTTTGATCAACCTCTCCTTGTTTCCCCCACTGCCCTGCTCCTGAAAATCACCAATCTATTCCTGTTTCTATGAGTTTGACCATTTTAAAGATTCCACTTATAAGTGAGATCATGTAGGATTTGACGTTCTGTCCTAGCTTACTCCAGTTAGCATGATGCCATTTGTCACAAATGTTAAAATGTCCTCCTTTTTAAGGCTGAATAATATTCCATTGTGTATGCACACGTGTGTGTGTGTGTGTGTGTCTCACATTTCTTTAGCCATTCGTCTGCAGATAGCTGCTTAGGTTGATTCATATCTTGACTACTGTGAATAATTCTGCAATGAACAGGAAAATGGAGATACCTCCTGGAAATACTGATTTCATTTCTTCGGATAAAAATCCAGAAATAGGATTACTGGATAGAAAGTAGTTTCACTTTAAATATTTTGAGGCATCTCCATGGTGTTTTCCATAATGAGTACCCCAGTTTACAGTTACATCAAAGGTGCACAGGGGATTATTCCCTTTCTCCAGAACTTTGTCAATACTTGTTATCTGTTGTCTTTTGATAATAGTCATTAAACACATGTTATATCTCATTGTGGTTTTATTTGCATTTCTCTGATAATTACTGATGTTGAAGAATTTTTCATACACCTGTTGGCCATCTGTATGTATTCTTAGGAGAAATGTCTATTCAGGTCTTTTGCATAATTTTGGATTTAGTTACTTGCTTTCTTACTATCGACTTTTTTGAGTTCCTTATATATTTCAGATATTAATCCCTTATCATATGTATGGTTTATAAACATTTTCTTTCATTCCATAGGCTGTCACTTCAATTTTTTTACTATTTCCTTTCATGTGTAAAAAAGCTTCATAATTTGGCATATTACCATTTGTCTGTTTTTGCTATTGTCATCTCTGGAGTCATATCTACAATATCATTCTCCAAACCACTGTCAAGAAATTTCCCTCCAATGTTTTCTACTAGCAGTTTTACAATTTCAGATTTTACATTTACATCTTTAATTTTGAGTAGCTTATTGAATATTGAAAAAGGGTCCAATATCATTCTTCTGCATGAGGATAACCAGTTTTTCCAATTTATTGGAAAATAAAGTGTTCCATTTATTTAAAAGATATTCTATCCCTATTGTGTGTTCTTAGCGTCTTTGCAAACACCAAAATAAGTACCAACTGTTAGCTTTTTATGCTACTTTATGGGTTAATTCACTGAGAGCTTTAGAAGCAACCATTTCAAGTTACAGTTGCTTTGGTATTACAATAAATTTTGAATAATTTAGATTAGGTGTTGGCTACATTAGGAAGAAAGCTGATTTAATTTTTAATCAAGGTTCAAAATGTGTATTTTAAATAAATGTTCATATTTCAAAGAATTTTAAAAGCTTTAACTGAGTATAAGATACTGCAAAATGTAGAAATTTACTTTGGTACATTGGCGACACGTTAGATTTGATTTTCAGAAATTATCAGATGGTATGATCTTTACTTATGGGAGATTAAATTTTCTCAGTTCACAGTATGAGATCAAGTTTAAAATCACAGCTTATTTTTTTGGATTTTTGGTTGGTTGTTTTAAAAATAAAATTCATTGTAGAGGTCAATTCTGTCATTGAAGGAATAATATGTAGCAGGGACCAAAATAATTAAATATTGAAAATTTTTTACAAATAAAATAATCAACTAGTATTGAAGTAGTTTGGCTCTGATTGTCATGTGTATATAATGAACTCCCACTAGATGGTGCTGTCTGGGGGTCAAAATAACCAGGCTCTCCTCAAAGATTCCCCTAGCATGTGAAAAAATAATTTTAAAAATGCTTTCTATGTGAAAGAAAATGTGCATCACTTCAATTAAGGGAAATACAAATCAAAATCAGAGTGAGATAGCATCTCATACCTGTGAGAACGGCACACATCAAAAAGGCACACATCAAAAAGACTCCTAACTAGTGATGGAGAGATGTGGAATGAGAGGAATCCTCCTACACTGTTGGAGATATGAAAATTGGTGCCACCATCTTGGAAAACTGGTCTGGATTTTTCTGAAAAGCTAAATATGGGAATAACGCACAATCCAGGAACCACACTTACGGCTATCTATCCGAAGGACACAAAACCATCAACTTAAAAAATTATAGGCTCCACAATATTTACTGCGGTATTATTTACATTTGCTATAATATGGCAGCAACCTAAGTGGCTATTCACAGGTAACTGGATAAAGAAGACATGGTCTATAGGCACAGTGGAATACTCTTCAGCTATAAGGAAAAATGTTACCATTCACAGCAGAGTGGAAGGACTTTGAGGAAATTGTGCAAAGTGAAATGAGTCAGAAAGATAAAGAAAAATATTAGATGACTTCACATATATGGGAACTGTAAAGAAACAAAGTGGATAAACTGACAAAGCAAAATAAAAATAAACCAGTGGATACTGATAACTGGACTGAGGTCAGCAGAGGTGAAGAGGGTGGACAGTGGGAGAAAGGGTGAAGGAACATTTCAGTTTTGCTTTTCATTTTGTTTCTCTTCTCAAAAAAAAAAAAAAAAAAAAAAAAAATCCTGGGCCTCCCCAGTGGCGCAGCAGTTGAGCGCTGGGTTGCAAAGCTGCCCGAAGCCTCTGCAGCACCGGTTCGATCCCCGGGCACCAGCGAGGGTCCCACATGGCGCACAGACCACTCCTGCCGCCCGCTGCTCCCCTCAGCAGTGTACTTCGGTCCTTCTGCCTGCTCTGCTCCCCGCTCTGGCTCTGGTGAATTCTCTCACCCTCCGGTGCCTCTGACTGTACACAATGCTTGTGTAAATAAATAAATAAATCTTTAAAAAAAAAATCCTAACACAGTGCCCCATGACAACATAAAACACAGTCAGAATACTTACATACAAAAATAATGAGCCAATAAAGAAAAGGAGAAAGATCCCCAGATAGTCCCACTAATCAGCACAAACAAGAACAAAAAGTTTTCCCTAGCCCTGACGTATAGAATTTAAGTTCACCTTAATAAGCTCACAGTCTGTCTGAGAAATGTGTCATAACAAGGACATCACTCGTGTAGAGAAAGCGAGTCTAAAAGCTTTGTTCATCTAGCAGCTTTAAGGAAAAGTTGTCCTCACTCTGAAATTTTAATCCTTGCTTAGAACACAGCATTGTCTTTAAAATCCATTTCACTATCAGTGCAGCTATAAATAATTCATTCATAAAACACAGTTACTCTTTTCTAAGAATCATACCAGGAAATGTGTCTTCGCTTCCCAGAGGAGATCAACATAAAAGTGACTCCTGAAAATACAGAATCCAATGGTGCTAGAACCATGACACTTCAGGACCTTGTGAACCAGGTTCAGCCTCAGATCACCACTGAGGGTTAAGTCTACTCTGCCCACTGTCCTCCAAGTGATATCTCATCATGCAGAACCCACCTATCTTCTCAGTGCTCATTCTGCATTTCAGAAAATTTTCTTCTTCCCATTTTGCCTAAATCTCCTCTTACAATTTACATCAATTTTCCCTGATGAAATCCACAGAGTATATAAAAAGACAAGGTAGCATTCATTGTCCTTGGAATGACAATGATGGGGGGCTGGGCAGAGGGGGAAGGCACCAGACCTGGCACAGGAATCTGCACTCACAGAGCACAGGCTGCATGGACACACTATATGCCTAATGATCTGTTTTCTTCAAACTAAAACTCTTGCATTGAACTAAGATTCCTGCCCTGATAATGCCCAAATGAGTGCCGACCATTGATGCCATCAGAAATTAACTAAGCAGGCCAGCATGTGCCAAGGTCAAGATAATCAGGAAGCTGATAACAAACTCTGGGGGCTGAATGTGATGAACACCAAGAACATCAATTATGATAAACTGATTCAACTATGACGGTTGTTCTGATGGGTTGGTTGCTTAGGACTGTTTTTGTTTAACTGATTATAAAAAGGCAGCTAGAGATGAGATGGCAGAAGAGCCTTTTGTTCTTTCAGGCCAGGGGCCATGGAGGAACAGTCTCTTCAGGATGCTGTGCCCTCTGTTCTCTCAGATCACTGACCAGTGATCTGAAAAACAACAGCACTTATAGATTCAATTCCCATCTCTGATCACTGGCTTTTTAGCAGTGACAGGCAGCAGAACCCAGGCCTATTCTGCTAACAATAACTCTTTCAGTATTTGAAAACAGTGTTTAAATCTACCCTTAGTCTTTTTCTTCCAGAGGAAATAACCCTGGTTTTATGTCTTCTGTTTATTGGTTCTATTTTCAGATCTCAAAACCATCATTGTTGTGAATCTCCACAGACTAAATGTTACTTTTAATTTGGGGCGCTCAGGTCAATACCCAACATTCCAGTGAGAGGTTGAATTATTGCAGAGTTTAATTACGGATTACTTGCTAGTCTTCGGAGCTGAGATCTTCTGTCAAGACCAGGTGCCTGCTTCCCTAAATATGGATCAACAATAAACAAAGAGCAATTTTTCATTCTCACAACAAATCCTAAGAGAAATGATAATCCAGAAACACATCTATAAACACATCTACAAAGCCCACATGAAATATGAAAATGTGTTCCAAATTCCAATGAAGCAACAAATAGGTTGAAGTTTATCTAATAACTGCAGTGCTGAAAGATTACTCCTCTCGGTTCAGCTCCGAGCAAGAACAGCAGTTGGTGTTGTGCTGTGTGGTGTCTGTTATATCCCCAGATGAATGGTGTCACTTGTAAGAGTCCAGGCAGAATGAATTACAGTGATTCACAAGAGTTCATCACCTCCAGCAATTAATTTTACCCAATTTATCAGTTTAGTCATTCAAGGCATATTTGAATTATGTTCCAAGAGGTTAATCAAATACCATTTTTGATTAGCATTAGCTTGATTAGCATGAGCTTGAGACTAAGTTAAATGACAATTGAAAGGTTTTGTTTTTCAATATTTTCAAAGAGCCAATTTAAATTCAAGTTAATGTCATTAACAAATTTAATGGGACCACCAAAACCAATACCCAGACACTGCCTTTCTATACTATGCTGAGGTCAAAGACGTGATGGTATTACCAGGATGTAGCACCCCTGTAGCCCTGTTTCAGTGAAGAGACTGACTAGTAAATACTTTCCCAGAAAACACCAACTCTAGAAATGACCAAATAGTCTGATGAAATGGGTTGACCAAGGATTTTGTTGGTCATCTGACTTCACCGAGATCTTTCATGTTCATCCCAGAAGCAGCCACTTCTGGGGTTCAAAAGCGATATCAGCAACCCTTTTTGAGGGTCTAGTTCTATCCTAGGTGGCCCCTGAAATCCAAACACATCAGGTCAGTCTCAATATTCCTATGTTCCGTGTCCATTTGAACAATCTTTGACCTAAGTGAACACAGCCCAAAATTCTCACTTTGACCTAAAATGCAAAGTACTCTGGGTGTTTTCTTCATCATGTATTTCTGAAACATGTCCAGGGAGGCACCACTGGGTCCCTTCAAGAAAGCACAAAGCAGACCAACATGAAGCCTCCAACAGCAGGGCTGGTCTTCATGTTTGCAAATCTCCCTGCTCTGGACCCCCAGCCAGCCCCCAGAAGAGAGGTGCCAGGAACCTTCTATCACTGAGACTGTCACACTGTGAGCACCATCTTTTCTGGACCAGATTGCATTTCAGCATCTGAGCTACAAATATAAATACACAGAATATGTTCCTTTCCTCTAATCCCACTGTGCTGATAGGCCCGTCCTCCAGCGGCCTAGACTTTATGATATATCACTATTGCCATGGTCCAGTCTACTTAGCCCCTTCCCCACCTCTGCAACCACTCCACAAATTCCCTGCCAGATCAGCCCATCAATCCCATTTTTGCTGTTATATGGACATACCAGGTATTCTTGAGAAAAATCACAGAGGACTTCCCAGATTGGTGTTACCATCAAGGGACGTCAGTCCAGCTCAGCCCAATCTCCTATGTGACTTGAAAACATTCCACATAACTCTTCACATAAGTAGTTGCTAAGCAACTCGCTCCTCAATTCCCCACGTGGGTGATTCCAAGTCACCACCAAGCCCATCATAGTCATGTCTCCATTCTCACTCCCCAGCTCCGAGAAGAAGATAAAAGGAAGAGGATAAAAGTCATTCTGTGGGATTTCCTCAGTCCCTCCCACACCTGTACAGCCATAAGCACACATTTGGTCACACCCGCCCCCGGCCAACTTATTTTCATCCAGTTAGGAAAAGAACGTCTTCTGCCCTCCCGTACCTTCATCTTTCTGACACTGCCAATCTCTGCCCTTCTCTTCTGCGACTGCTCACATCTAGACACTCAAACTCTTAAGTCTCTCTCATCTTTTAAGAACAATGGCTCTGTTTCTTTCTGGCTTATTTCACTGAGCATGATCCCTTCCAGCTCCATCCATGTTGCTGCAAATGACATGAGTTCTGGATGGTCTCGCTCATAGCAGGCATTTAGAAAACCCAAATAAGGGATCAGGAGAAAGACTAATTATAATCAAGTAAAAAGCAAAATCAACAGGCAACTATAAACCAGAGACACACTACAGCGGGGGTGAAGGGCGTAGGATTAAAACAAGGATGGTGGGTGGGGCCTCCCCGGTGGCACAGTGGTTGAGCGCTGGGTTGCGAGGCTGCCCGCAGCCTCTGCAGCACTGGTTCGATTCCCGGCTGCTCCCCGGCCACCGAAGGAGGGTCCCACATGGTGTGCAGACCTCCCCTGCCGCCCGCTGCTCCCCTCAGCAGTGTACTTCGGTCCTTCTGCCTGCTCTGCTCCCCGCTCTGGCTCTGGTGAATTCTCTCACCAACCTGGGCTTCTGACTGTACCCAGTGCTTGTATAAATAAATAAATAAATAAAAAAAACAAGGATGGTGGGGATTTTACGGGGACTCTAACCAAGATGAAAATGCATATATTGTACAAAAATTAAAAATGATGTACAAAATATATAAAATAAAAACAAAACAATGGCTCTGGCCAGTGTACCAGCCTTCCTGAAAAGTGTCTGAGGAACCATGTCCAGAGTCCAAAAAGTGCCCTTACCTCATAACCCCCTAGGTTTACTTTTAAACCTACCTCAAGGATGTGCCGTAAAATATAAATAATTAGGCATTAAATGTTTATTGCAGTTTTTAGATAAGCACATGCACACAAAAATAAAAATGGAAACTACCTTAACTGCCCAAAATAGAGAAATCATTAAGTGGTATTTTAAAAAATAATGTCAAAGCTGTGAGAATATCTGACATATGTTAAGTTTTGTTTTTTTGTTTTTTTGTTTTTTTTAAAGTGGAGGCCTCCCTCATAGCCTAGGTGTTAAGTCTTAGCACTATCACCACTCTGGCCTGAGTTCAATCCTGGGCTAGGGAGCTGACCCACATGGCACAGCAGACCTCTCCTGTCTTGCCCACTGCACCCCTCAGCAGTGTATTTCAGTAAATCCATGTGTTGTGCTCCCCACTCTGTCCCTGGCAAATCCTCTCACCCCCTTTACCTCTGGCCTACACCCCAGTTCTTCTACCCACCCCAAAAAAGTAACAGATGTGGAGGGGCCTATGGATGATGGTGGAGGATTATGGGTGTTTTGGTGGGGGCTACCTGGGGAGGTGAAGAGGTGTGAACAGCTGAAGCAGTGTGAACCTGGACTTCTGAATCATATGCAGTGTTATAAACCAATCAACCACCCAAGGTAACCTTAATTAAAAAAAAAAAAAACTTAAAAGAGCCTGTGGAGTACTGGAGCACAATTTAAAGCTAGATGCACAGAGACTATAAGGAGGAGATACACTTCACTGTTACTGCAACAGGGTGGTCCCCAGGAAAGGGGGAGGTTCCCTGCCCCACCCAAGGGAGTGCCCCTCTCCCTGTCCTATAACATTACCGTGTTTGTCTTGGAATAGTGGAATTACGCATTCTATTTCCTTCTTTGTGCTTACCTAGATTTTCCAAAGTTCCTATCAAGATACTACAGTAAGAAAAAAATGCTTCATGAAAACAATTCAGTGAGTTCAATAAATATCAATCACCATTCTATCTAAAGTCCGAATACTAAGTAAATAGCAAAGTTCTTCCAACTGTGGAACCAGACAAACTGGATTCCCTGCATGTCTCCTGGTCAGAGGACTTTGATGGCGGCTACTATGCAAAAGGACAGGTATGGGTAAGGAGCATAGAAAATCATCACTGTCACTAGGTTAAGATGAAGGCGCCCTAGTAATTTCTCTAATTTTAAAATGACGTCACTTAATTCTAGCAATGAAATTACCAAGTAGGGGAGTGAGGATCGAGGACCAGAGCTTGGGTTTTTTTCACACTAACTGCAGCATTATTTTTGCAATGGTGCGCAGCAGTCCAGGGAGCTGCATGCTGCATCTCTTGGATCACAACCAGCACATGTCCAGTGGGACAGAGCGGATCAGAACAACCACAAATGTTAAGGTTGCGGGTTTCAGGGACGTTTGTTCTAACTATGCACGCTTATTGTGCACAGTGGTGTGAAATACATTCCTTGGTACTGGTTGTGGCCAGAATGGAAGGGGGAGGAGGAGCACAGAGGAGACAAGACAAAGACACTGAGCCCAGCGAAGAGGTCCTTAAGAAGGTTAAAAAAAAAAGCCAGAAAAATACGCTACAACATGAGGTTAGTCCATAAGGAAATGTAAGCAGAAAGCCGCGTTGTATTCAGTGTTACTATCTAAACTCAGACAATTCTGGGCACCACGAAGGAAAATATATACACATACATAAATATTAAAAATAACATTTTTTAAATTAACATTTTTTTCCAAGTGTGGAATGTAACTCTTTGGAGCGGGTCCCTAGGTGCAGCAAATATGGCATTAGAAATAGCCAGAAAGCCGACCTTCAAATCAGACAGTCTTCAAAGAAGACTCATTAGTTAATTTGCTTGTGAGAAATAGAAAGAGGTCTCCTTTGTAGCAGGATGAATGCCAACTTATTTTTCTTCAACAAAGAAAGTAAGAAAATCATTAGACAAATTTCTTGCTTAGACAAAAGAAATAAGCAGTTAAATGGAGCAAAATGCCTCACTTGGTTACAGGGCATCAGTCTGGACACCCTCCCCAGAGACAGCACCCATTGCTCAGGTCAATATTATCCTGAGATCATCTCAGAAGAAATGAACGTGTTAACAGCTAAAACCACTGTTTCAGAGAGATCCCAAAGCAGAGACTGCTCTGTGTCCAACTCACATTTATTAAGTGTCTACTATGTGCATGAAATCACTGTTTCTGGGCCTCCCTAGTGGTGCAAGATGTTAAGCACCACACTACGAAGCAATCTGAAGCCTCTGCAGCATGAGTTCTCCCCGGCGGGCCAGGGAGCAACCCACATGGCGCAGCAGACCTCTCCTGTCTCGCCTGCTGCTCCACTCAGCAGTGTATTTCGGTCAGTCTGCCTGTTCTGACAGTTCCCCATTCTGTCTCTGGTGAATCCTCTCACTCCCCACATCTCTGGCCTGTACCCCATCTCTTGTATGCATAAATAAATAAATCTTTAAAAAAATTAAAATAAAATAAAATCACTGTTTCTGACTTAACCCACATGTATTAAGTGCCTATTATATGCACTTATAAACATATAAATATAACACCTGGATGTTCACCTTGAGGACCTTAGAACTGTGATAAAAATCAAAAGAAATACCAAGGCAAACTATCAACCTCCCCCAAAACCATAAAATGTCACAGCACAAGTTTTCAAAAATGTATTAACCTCCAGAGACTGAAAAAATGGCAGGAGGATGACAGCGGAAGAAGAGATTTCAACAAGTCTTTGGAAGATGGAGGCAGACAGAAGAGCGATAACTGACATAGTTAAATTGGCAAAGTTGTCACTTCAGAGGTGGATTCCAAAGAGTCACCAGCTGATTCTCCCCCAGAGAATGCCTGAGGGCAATATTTGGGATGCCAGGCCCTGGAGTCAGGGAAGATCTGAAGACTGTGCATCGTGCAGAAGGTCTAGCATCCAACAGAGTAGGTGGCATGTGCCACTCACACCATGTCCAGTGGGCTAGCGCAAATTGAGGCACACATACATGTGCACGCCACATGCACACACCCCAGTAAGACCCCAGTTGTTGTGTGAATTCCCAGCCTCCCTTGTTCTCAGGATGTAGTCTAGGTGCCCAAAGTTGCTTGCTGGTCAAGCTAAAATGCAGTCCGGCAGGGGCCTCTCACCAGAACAAAAGTCTTGGTGTGAGGATATCTGCAGAAAACAGCAGGCAGACATGATGGCCAGATTAGCAGAACCAGCTGGACCACCTTGACAGGAAGTCAAGCATAAACAGGGACTAGAGAGAGGATGTCTGGGTCAGCAGCAACAATGGTGCCCCCCAGGAGATAACCCCTCATCACTTCCCGCCCCCCAGCTTGTGCCAGACAATTATGCATCCCCAATCCACATCCCTTCCACACACATTCCTCCACTGCTTGCCCCCCTTCTCTGAATCTGATACCCAAATAAATGTGAGACTTGCTGTGGGGGAAGGCGCTGCATCTCCAGAGATGTGAGCCCCTCTTGGTCTCTCTCTCTCTCTCTCTCTCTCTCTCTCTCTCTCTCTCTCTCTCTCTCTCACTACTTGGACTTTGAGTTGTTTTTCCTCTATCCAGTACTGCTCCCAACACTGCTGCCCCACGAGGCAACAGCTGTATTCAAGGATGCAGACATGCAGTGGAGGCCTCATTGTTGGGGCATCTTCTAGCAAGGCTTCCTCAGCCCTGAGTCAGTAATGGGCACCTGACCCAGCTCACACAAGGCCAGGCTTTAACAAACCTGAGAAGCTCAGCTTTGTGTGATGCCATATTCTTACATATTTAAGACTTACCTTGCCTCTCAGAGCATTTCCACCTACAATCTCTGCCCTTACAAAAGGAACAGTTATAGAATCTGCCACCCTCCTGAAGCTCAGACCTACTTCACTGCCTGCAAATCCTTCTATCTTCATCTAA